ATTTCCCTTGAATTATTAGTTTAATGATAATTCAGGTAATCATACCTGAAGTCAAAACCCAGAACAATATCAAATTACATTTCCAAGAAATGTTTTTCCTCATATTCTTGCTATAACAGTTAACAACGAACATATACAAGGTCTTATCTTATTCATCTTTTCTGCTTTAAATCCATCCTGGAGCAGAAATCAATCATTAGAAATAAAGAAAATAATTACATTATTAAATGAGAATTCATTCAAAACCCAGGAAAAAAGTGGCTAATGGGAGCCTTGAATACCCATATCTAAAGATATTTGTATGTTAACCTCTAAAGCAAAAATAAAATCTTTAAATCTGGGATCTGTCAACACAAAGTTGGCTTAAAGACATAATACCATGAGTACATACTATTCCAGGTATAATTTTCATAAGCAATGACCGCACAATCAAAATCACTGTTTAAAAAAAACCCAACTTATAAGTCCCTTTTACTTCAGGTGAGATCCTAGTTTCTCATTAAACCACTTCTATTATTTTAGAAGTTCACATCATCCTTTCAGTAACTTCTCACACGAAGTTGATAAGATTTTGTGACCTGGCCAAGGCTGAACATCCAGGGGACTGATAATCTGCCAAGTCCACCAAGAACTTCACAGATATTTACAAAATCTGAAATATTCCCCCAAACAGTAAGTAATTACTATTATTCATTTTAAAGCAAAACATACCCAATTAAATACTTGAAAGCTTACTTCAAGTATAATGACAACAGTCTCTATCAAAAGAGCAGGTAATTTTCTAATGTTACAATTGTGTGGGCAGCAAGGTGGCACCGCAGATGCAGTTCTGGGCCTGAAGTCAGGAAGATTTATCTTTCTGAGTTCAAATCTGGCCTCAGACACTTATCTGTGTGACCCTCAGTAAGTCTCTCAACCTTTTTTTTTTTTAACCTCAGTTCTTCATCAGTAAAATGAAGTGGAGAAGGAGATGGCAAATCACTCCAGTATCTTTGCCACAAAAAGCTCTATTGGGTTCACAAAAAGCAGACCATGACTAAAACAACTGGCCAACAACAACTGGCTCTATTTTTCACTTTTTTTTTTTTTTGGCTAGGCAATGGGGTTAAGTGACTTGCCCAGGGTCACACAGCTAGTAAGTGTTACGTGTCTGAGGCCAGTTTTGAACTCAGGTCCTCCTGAATCCAGAGCCGGTGCTCTATCCACTGTGCCACCCAGCTGCCCCTCTGTTTTTCACTTTTACAGTATTTCTTATACAACAATTTCCCCAAAGTCACCATACAAGAAAAGTTAGAAGCCTGCCAATACCATAGACAATATTATGGATTTTAAAAACTTAGCACAAAACTTATTGCCAATCAACTAACATCAGTGAGTTGAATGTGTTCTCAAATCCTCTTTTATAGAAAAATCACTTCATCCATCCATCAGTCTGGCATTCTATAGTATTTGCATTCCAAAGCCAGTATGTAGTAATTATACTTTTAATTCTTAGTCATGCAGTTTCCAAGCATATTTCCTTAATGCTAAATATCACATTAATGTAAATATTTTGTATTAAGGTTTGATCTACCTATTGAGAGTCAACCATCACAATTATCCTAAAAGAACATATCTCACTTTACATGAGACCACATTATATTTTAGAATCAGGTCAATCAAATCAAATCTGGATTTGTAATCACAAACGGTATCATTCAAAAATTTCGATTTTCTCAAGGGTGATTAGCTGCCGGCATCTCAATTTATAAAGCGCATTATTTCAGTTTTCTCAGTTCCAGAGATTTATGGTGGGGCATCTAGGTGGCGCAGTGGATAGAACTCTGGCCTTGGAGTCAGGAGGACCTGAGTTCAAATCCAGCCTCAGACACTTGATGCTTACTAGCTCTGTGACCCTGGCCTAGTCACTTAATCCCAATTGCCTCACCAAAAAGCAAAAAAAAAAAAATAAAATAAAAACAGACCTTATATGGCCTCTTATTTGCAGTGTTAAGTTATATTTTAAGTTCTGATTTTAAGCTATATTCTAATGTTACTATTCTACCTGGACTTTCAAAGGAACTGGTCTGCTACCTGGGTGAATCATTCAGCAGAATTTCTGTGGGAGTCTAGCCTGCGTGCCAGTGGTAGAAAAAAGGAAGGTATGTTTGAAGAGATTTTCTTCCCTTCCAGTGGCTGTTTTGTACAGTTTTTAAAAATGAAGGCAATATATGCAATTGAACGTCATATACTACACATCATTAGCCACTAGGAAAACAAATCTTTTTGTAGCTAGCAATTCATCTTGTTTGCTGGTTTGTGTGCTGAGAGGGAAAAAGAATTCCCATCTCTCGTCAAGAGAGCTTGTTAAATTCTCTTATTAATTCACCCACAACTTTGTGAGCATTTTCACCATGTTCTCTTTATAAATCATAATACAGCTGGTGGCGTGGTAGATTAAGCATTGGACATGCAGTCAGGAAGACCTGAGTTTAAATAATACCCCAGACACTAACTAGCATCACGACCCTGGGCGAGTCACTGAACCTCTTACCTGTTTCCTCAGCTGCAAAATGAGGATAATCACAACGGCTCCCCACAGTGTTATGGGGAGGAACAAATAAGCTTGGCACATAGTAGGCACTGTGTCAATGCTTGTCATGGTCATCGTTCTGTTGTTATTATTGAATCAACTTGATGCAGAATCAGACCGAAGGCCGGGTTTGTTGGCTGTTGAAACAAATACTGTAAACTTTTGTTCAAAGGAAAATGTCCAACTCTGAAATGAGCTTCATATTTTAAGTTATGTTCCACATATTCCAAGTTGTAATTTAGTTGACTAAAAAAAATTATTCAGTCAACAAAATTTGTGAAATAAATTTGAATTGAAATCTTGCAAGTAATAGTAAATACAAATTACTGAATTAAAAAAAATTCTTACAATAAGCACTACTTCAAATTTTCAGTCATTTTATAGTTGATTTTATTTTTAAAATTTTTCATAATTAAAGTTAGAATTAAATTTGATATTTTATAATTACAGAATTTAATGAAAGTATAGATTTGGAGCTTTAAGGAAAAAAGTTATCCAGGTCATTATCATAAACACTTTATGCACATATTAAGGAAATCTAGTATTAATTAAAAGTAGATCAAATGACCAGGGGTCTTCTAACACCCTTGTTGTTGTTGTTGTTGAAAGGGGTTCTAAGAATGAAAAATTTTGGAAATTACTGAACTGGAGCCGTGGTTGTTCACTGCATTGATCAGTGTTACTACAATATTAACTATTCTCTTGACTTGGTTCATTTCTCTCTATATCAGTTCAGACTACTCTTCCCAGGTTTCTCTGAAACTGTGCCTTTCATCATTTCTTCTGGCACAATTATATTCCATTATATTCTTGGACGATCATTTTTTCATTCATTTTCCCAATATGGGCACCACTCTTGCCTCTAGTTCTTTTCGGCCACAAAAAACAGCAGCTATGCTTTTGTGTTGTATGTGTGGGTCTTTCCCTTCCTTCATCTCTTTAGTTTGTAGGCCTACTAGTAGTTTATCACTAGGATACATGGTTGAGTGCCTTTGGGAGCAAAGTTCCAAATTGCATTAATACATGACATCTCTTCATTTTAATGCTGTGTGAATATTTCCAGGGTGTTTCTTATACAAAACAGGCTAAGTTCTCCTTTCCAATGCATTCTGCGACTCTCCTTTTTTGAGAGGTGAAATCATCCCATTAACATTTATTTTTCACAATTATCTCCATCACATCCTCTAACAACCTTTCTTCTTTGTACCTCCTGTGTCATTAGAAAGAAGACATAGGTGAGGAAATGAGATCAACAATAGCAACCTATAATTGAAACGGCATGATTCCCACTCAACTTACCTTGTGTTTCATCCATCTTACTCCCAGATGACTAGTTACAACACTATCTAAATAGTCTTTTATATTTTTAATTTCCTCTATTTGGTAGTCAGAATTAGGGTTGGTAGAATTGTGAAATGGTCCAACTATTCTGGAAAAGAATTTGGAACAATGCCAAAGGGCAAGAAAACTGTTTAATCCTTTAACCCAGCTCTACTGCTCTTAGGTCAGTATCCCAAAGATATCAAAGAAAAAGGAAATGGACCCATCTGTACAAAAATATTTATAGTAGCTCTTTCTGTGGTTGCAAGAAAAAAAATAGAAATTGAGGAAATATCCATCAATTAGGGAATTGCTGAACAAGTTGTGCCATGGTTGTGGAATACTATCATGCTGTAAGAAAGAGTATGGTTTCAGAAAACCCAGAGAAGACATATGAACTGATATAAAGTGAAATGGGCAGAACCAGAACATTGCATGCAACAGAAATATTGTAATGAATTCTAATTCATTTATGGAATTATGAAATGGAGGTGGGAATTTCTGGTTCTTTGGGTAATTCCAGGAAAGACCACACTGACACTGGGGAATAATGCTTCTATTACACTTTAATAAGGCACAAAGGATAGAGGTGGTACAGAGGCAGATGGCATGGAAAGGCAGATGGGGTAGTGGAGCATTCAGGAAAGTCACAGAGAAATTGTAGAGTGGAGAACATATCAAACGTTATGTCAAAATGACCAATAAAATTCATTTTTATCCAAAATATACAATGGACACCATTGTATACCAAGAGCTGTTGCTAAGAGATGAGTGCTGAAAGAATACAAAGTTTTCGAAAGTACTGACAACAATGAATGACCACATGAATACACATTCCAAAGCACCAACAGTAAGCAAAAGTATTAAAATCATTTTGTAATTTCCAGTCATGCCTTCAAGATTGGTGAAAATGACAAAAAGGGAAGCATTTATATTTTATTGTTTTTTATTTTGAAATTCACAAACATGAAACAGAAGAAGCACTTTATATACACCCTAAAACAAAAAGGATTACACATGAAACAAGCTCTAATAGAGAGCTGGATTTTCTTGACTAATTAAAAACTTCAACCTGACACTTTGAAAACTATCCTCATTCCTTCTGGACTTCCTCCTGGTCTATGGCACGTTTGGTGTGAAGGCTGCTGAACCCTTTTCAGGGCCGTTCATCCACCTCTGGTGTGCACCTTCACTGAACTCTCACCAGTGGCTCCAAGAAACTGTAGCAGTGGCCACATGCTGACAGATCCATTTTGGCAGACAGGCTACACTAGGCTGAGGGTAACTGACTGGCCTCAAACCCATTGGTAAGTTAGGGGAATGTCTACCCCAAACATGAAGACTTCCCCAGCAGACTGGGTGGATGAGAACAATTTGTGCCAAAGGCCATGAACAAATGCTGTAGAGTGATTAGAGCTTGGTCAGACACAGAAGATGCCAAGATCATCCACTGCCTCCCAGATGACCACCACTAGTCCTGACTTTTGTCTTAGCACTGGACTTCGACTCTGAAAGAATGAGGCTTACCTTGTGCAACCCTGACTCACTTAAGCCCAATTCACATACAAGTTATCACCGTGATATTATTGGTCCTCTTCAAAAACGAAGGATGAGCAACGATTTTAAAAATCCATCAATTTCCTTTCCTTTTTCTTTTTTTGAAGTGGGGGAAGGGTAATCCTATTCCTAATCTCTATCACTGCCATCCTCTCCTACCCAAAATTAAAAAAAAAATAAGAAAACAGTCAACCATAATAAATTCCTACACTATGTGCCAAAATATACTTTAATCTGTATCTTGTGTTCATCGTCTCTCATTCAGGAGGCGGGTAATGCAGACCTTGATAAATCCTCTGCAAAAGCGGTATCTTTCAAACTGATTGGCCTTCACAAAGTTATCAATTAGTCCCTTGATTCTACTCACTGCACACTGCATTAGTTCATATGACTCTTCCTAGGTTTCACTGACATTGCCCACGTTTCATGCCACATTTGTGTTCTGTTCCACTCATCTACCAATTTGTTCATCCATTGCTGTATTATTGGGCATCACACCTTAGTTTCCAGTCCTTTGCCACAACAAAGGGAGCTGTTAAATTTTTGTACACTTGAGTCCTTAAGAGAAAATGTCATCTAGTAGTACCACTGACTCACAGGGTATGTACAATTTAGTGACTTTTTCAGCTTCACCAACAGTAAATTAACTCATGTGCCTATTTTCTCACAGTCCTTCCAACACAGGTTATTTTCTTATCATCTTTGCCAATTGCATGAGTGTGAGGTGGAACTTGAGAGCTGATTTAATTGCATTTTTCTAATTGTTTGTGATTTGGAACTTCTTTCTTATTTAAATTTCATTTGAAAATTAACAAACATTTCCTGTCCCTCAGACCTGACCTCTCTTAGGTGAAAAGAAAAATACAAAATTTTTGTACCAAATATCTAATCAATAAAAATAAAAGCCCCCAATATTTGATTGTCACTTTCTTATTACCATTACCAAACTTAAAATTTTTCTAATTATTAGTATTTTGCATTGGCGATTGTAGATGTGGAACATATTTCTCATATGATTGTTTATAATATGGACATGAAGCCTTTATTAAGGAGACTTTCTGCAAAGGTTTTTCCCAGTTAATAACTCCATTTACATTTTAGATTTTTTTTAATGTAATGAAAATTGCCCATTTTATTTTCTGTGATCCTTTCTGTCCCGTGTTGGGTGGTGAACTCATCCCCTATACAAAACTAAAAATGTGAATCTTCATGGTTCTTCCATTATGTTTGAGGGGACCTCTTATATCTGAATCCTGGATACTTTGGAGCTAATCTTGGTACAGTGTGAGATGCTGGTCTACACCTAGTTTCTGCCAGATTGCTTTCCAATTTTTCTAGCATTTTGCAGTGATTAGTAAATTCTAGCCCCATAACTGGGGTCCTTAGATTTATTGAACCCAGGTTGAACCCAACTTTTTTTATGTTATGTACCTTATTTATTCAATTTCTCAAGCTTGTTTTTAAATTGTTCCTCAGAAATACAGGCCAGAGAGCATTTGAGGCAGAATTTGAATCTATTTTCCTGATTCTAAACCCAATGCCCTCTGTTATAGCAAGTGCCTTCCTCTGTCCTGTTCTGAGAATGAATTTGAATGAAAAGTGATTAAACTGTCCACTTTAGCATACTAACTCTGAGACTTATAGCCCATTAAATAAATAACAATAACTAGCTTTTCCACTGTAATTTAATACTTACAGAGCTTTTCTACAATTATCTCATTTGTTCCTCACATCAACCCTAGGAGGTAGTTGCTATTATTATCCCCGTTCTATAGATGGGGGAAAAACCAGGCAGGAATAGGTTAAGTGACTTGGCCAAGGTCACATAACGAGTAAGTATTAGAGACTGAATTTGAGCTTGTCTTATGGCTCCATGCATAGCAAACTATCCACTGTGCCACCTTGTTGATTAAAGAAATAATTAGAGAAATTAATGTCCAATGGAACCAAAAATATTTATACCACGACATTCAGTGTCACCAAAAGAACAGGAAACAAAGTAATGATCAATTAATAAACAGCTAAAGAAATTATGGCATATGGATGCTACGAAGTATTATTAAGGAATAATGACAAACATTAGGATTTCAAAGAAAAATTCACCATATTTATAGGACTTTTTCATCAGCATGAAATAAGGAATATATAACAAAGTCTAAACTGCAGCAAGAGGCCTTCCCTCATTACTTGGACCCATAAGTTTTATCTCCATCATGATTTCTCCAATATATAATCAAGCATGAGCTCCACATAAAGACCCTGACACTGAGAAAAGGCATCACTCTTCTAACCATTTCCATATGAATATTCTGATGTCTAGTCATCTACCTCTTCCAGAGAAAAGCGTGTTTCCACTGAGAAATCTTTAAGGCTTTTCTCTACCATGACTCCTCTGATGTAAAGTAAGAGATGATCTCTGGTTGAAGGCCTTCCTCTATTGAGTCCATATGGGGCATCTCTCCAGAATGAATTTTCTGATGTTGAATGAGCCCTAGACTCCATTTGGCTGCCTTTCCTCAATCATTAGAGTGACAAAATTTCTATCTAGTATGAATTCTCTGATGGGAAATAAGGGATGACTGTCACTTGAAGGCTTTTTCACACTGATTTTATATATACAAGGTTTCTCTCCAGCGTGGATTTTCTGATGTTGAGCAAGAGAGGCCCTCTATCTTAAAATCTTTCCACACTGATTACATTTATAAGGTTTTTCTCCAGTGTGACTTCTTTGATATACAGCAAGACTGGAGTTCTGTCAAAAAACCTTTTCCACTCTGATTACATTCTTAAGGTTTCTCTCAAGTGTGGATTCTCAGGTGGTTAGCAAATCAGACCCCATCTAGGTAGGCCATTCCACACTGATTACAATCTTAAGTTTTCTCCCCAGTGTGGATTCTTTGATGAAGATAAAGACTAGAGCTTTGTCTGAAAGTCTTTCCACATTGAGCGCATTTATAAGGTTTCTCTCCAGTGTGAATTCTCTGGTGTTCATTAATACTGGATCTTGTTCTGAATGTCTTTACACATTGATTACATTCATAAGGTTTCTCTCCAGTGTGGATTCTCTGATGTGTCAAAAGATGGGCCTTCTGAGTGAAAGCTTTTCCACATTGATTACATTCATATGGTTTCTCTCCAGTGTGGATTCTGTGATGCACAGCAAGACTGGAGTTGTGTCGGAAAGCCTTTCCACATTGATTACATTTGTAAGGTTTCTCTCCAGTGTGGATTCTCAGATGGTTAGCAAGATGGGGTTTATCTGCTAAAGCCTTTCCACATTGATTACATTTATAAGGTTTCTCTCCAGTATGGATTCTTAGATGGTTAGCAAGAGTGGACTTTTTTGTGAAAGTCTTTCCACATTGATTGCATTCATAAATTTTCTCTCCAGTGTGTATTCTCTGATGTACAACAAGATTGGAGTTTTCTCGGAAAGCTTTTCCACATTGATTACATTTATAAGGTTTCTCTCCAGTGTGGATTCTCTGATGTTTAAAAAGACTGGCGTACTGTGTGAAAGTTTTTCCACATTGATTACATTTATAAGGTTTCTCTCCAGTGTGGATTCTCTGATGTATAGCAAGACTGCAGTTTTCTCGGAAAGCCTTTCCACATTTATTACATTCATAAGGTTTTTCTCCAGTGTGGATTCTCTGATGTTGAGTCAGTTTGGAATTCTGTGTGAATGCCTTTCCACACTGATTACATTTATAAGGTTTTCTTGTAGTGTTAATTTTACGACGGTCAATGAACTTTGAGTTCTGGCTAAAGATCTTCTCACCTTCATTACATATATAAAGCATTTCTCTAGTACAACTTTTCTGATGTCTAATGCGGTCGAATGTCATTTCCTGTTGAAAATCTTGATACATCTGCACTTGAGGAGGCTTTGAATAAGACTGAATTAGCCCAACCTTTCGAGTTAAGCATTCCCTGTCTTCACTATATTGAAAACAGTCATTCTCTGAAGTCATTTTCTTACACTGAATTGGGACTGAATGTTGTCTGAAACTCTTTGCATTTTTATCAAATACACAGTTACCATTTTGATTCTTCTCATTCTTGATATCAGAGTCACAAATTTCTCTCAAATTGAAGTCACTCATGAATCTTGGCTGGTGAGATTCTTCCACAGAGATGTTCAGTTTCGCAATTGTCTTCTTCACGCCAAACCTGGTCTCTGCATCTGAAGGAAACATAGGGCAATGATTAAAAAGGTTGAAGAGACAGAATTTCTGGGTAATTTAATCATTTTATTAATAAGGCCAACATCATTAATAAAAGAATGGTCATTTAGCCATCTCTGTTGACCAAAGACCCGTAATGGCTGTGGGGTCAGTTTATAGGCCCTTCAAAGAAGAGGTGCTCCTGCAGGATGCCTAATCACCTCTGACTGGTTAATCTAATGGGAAGTGGGCTATCCTGGATGACTTAGGTCACCTAAATATTGGTCAAAAAGAAATCAATTTCCTATCACCTATCTTTATAGTGGACATTTTCTCAGGACCTAAGCAAACACAATGAGCAGGAATACACCTGTTAGCCAAAACTTAGAATTTCTTTTACTGTCAGATTAGATCCTGGCCTGGGTAAGAGAGATTTCCCACACTGATTCATTTCTTGATGAGGAAATATAAAAGAGGAAAAACCTTGGTCCCAATATAATAATTACTTATTAAATATAAGAGAAAAATATTCATTCCTCACAATAGTTACACACACACACACACACACTCTTCTCTTCCCAATATTCGGAGAAAGTAAACGGACTTATATATTCTGTCTCCCCAGTCAAAAAGAAAAATTTACAAACTTAATGGGCAGAGTCAATTAATTGAAAATGACATTAGATCACACCTGGAGGACACTTTAACTTAAGAACAACTTCACCAACAATAACACTGGATGCTCACAACAAACCTGTGACACTGGCAAGGTGGGATTCTCATTACACTTTACAACTCCAATCATGAGTTCAGAATGGCAGTCACATGACCCACATCCCTGCAGGTGAGACTCAAACCCTGAGACTGAACGTGCTTTCTCCAGCACTAAATGGCCTTTCTCCATTTCACTTTGAATCCTTCATTCAAATGTTTTGTCATTATCCTTTTTAATGTTTTGCTCAGGTAAATTTTCTGCTTTTCTGTATTGACTAGTTTTGATGTAACTATCACTTGGTCATCCTTTGTAAATTCCCAATGCTGGGCTGAGAAATAGGTCTTTGCCTTTCACCTGTCATATATTAATTTTCAGTGTTCTGTTCAACTTTTCTTATGTACTATTCAGATCCACAGATATGCCATTTGCTACATATATATTGAAAATTGGTATTTCATTAGCTACCATATCTTTGAGCATAATGAAATTTCTCTGTTAATTTAACTGCCAATTCTATTTTTTAAAATTCACTGGAAGCATAAGATTGTTACCACACATGACTTTGTAAAGGATAGCTATTATTAATTTATCTTTGAAAGTCTGTGTTCCCTAAATAACAAAGAAAAACCAGAGCCCTTGTAATAAACACAATAAAAAGAAATTATTCATTTCCCATGTTCGAAGATATCACGTCCCATTCTGTATCTTCAGACCATCATCCTTCTTTCAGGAAGTGGTCTACATGACTCACAATTAGTCACTATTAACAGCACTTCCTATTTAGTGGCTCACAATCTCACTGGGAATTTTAAAGGATCTGAGCTAAAAATTCTTTAATGGCATCCCCTAAGCAATAAATAATTACACAATTTTGCTACAAATACATTTTTTTTAACTTTTGGATAATAAGGATGTACTTATTTCAAACATAACAGGTTTCTTTATGCAGTGATTCCAAATCGTCATTCCAAATCATCCAAAAGACATATAATGATTTTGGTGTTCATGCAGTGATTACATCAAACTCTGGCTTCCTTCTAAGTAAAACATATTCTATCCCTCAACCTTTCATCAAATTGTTTCTACACTGCGAGAAAGGCTTGACATTTATAGGCAAATCAATTCCCAGTGGATGGTCACAGGTAAGCAGATGCCCACATCTGCCCCAGAGTAGTTCCCTCCATCCCAGAGTTAACTGTAATTGCATCCCTTCAGATCTTGATCATTACATCAAGATGTTACAAGTCTTTGTGTACTGCAAATCACAGGTTCTTTGAAAAACAAACTCACTAAGCATGGACATTAGAAGACATGCTGAAACCATCAGGAACTACCACAACCATGCCTTTCATTGCAGTATTAAGGCTATTTTATTGTTTTATTTATTGTTTTATTTTTAGGCAATTGGGGTTAAGTGACTTGCCCGGGGTCACACAGCTAGTAAGTGTCAAGTGTTTGGTCTGAGGCCGGATTTGAACTCAGCTCTTCCTGACTTCAGGGATGGTGCTCTATACACTGCACCACCTAGCTGCCCCCCTAGTATTAAGGCTATTTTAAAATTTGAACTTATCTTCTAAGGTTACTATTCTTCTATTGAGCAAAAAAAAAATTTTTTTAAGGCAATTGGCGTTAAGTGACTTGCCCAGGGTCACACAGCTAGTAAGTGTCAAGTGTTTTTGTCTGAGGCTGGATTTGAACTCAGGTCCTCCTGACTTCGGGGCCGGTACTCTATCTGCTGTGCCACCTAGCTGCCCCTATTGAACAGATTTTTAAAGGATCTGGTTGGCACCAGAGGTCAGTCCTTCTGTAGAGTTTCTGTGAGGATACAGACACTGTGCCATGGTAGAAAGAAGAAACTTACGTATGAAGATTTCTTTGCTTACAAATATCATTTTATCTTGTGGTTATAAGCCAAAATTCATAAGGGAGAGAAAGCTGGGCCCAGTCAGGAAGACCAGAGTCCAGATCCAACCTCAGATACTTACTAGCACGGTGACCCTATCCAAGTCACTTAGCCTCTTTTTGCCTGTTTCCTCAACTGTAAGATGCAGATAATCAGACAGCCTGCCCCACCACATTGTGGTGAGGATCAAACAAGTAACATCTCTAAAGTACTTAGCCCAATGCCTAACACATAGGAGGCACTACATCAATGCTATTTATGATATCATTTCTGTTACTGTTATATCAACTAGATGCAGAACCACTTTGAAGATTAAGTTTGGTGGCTATTGAGTCAAATATTGCAAACCTTCTTCAAAGAAAAAAAAATCCAATTTTGAAATGAGTTTCACCTGTTACATTATATTTAGCACCTTCCAAGTTATAAACTTTTTTGATTTAAAAAATTCTATTCCTATTCAACGAAATCTGCAAAATAAAAAGTTTAAATTGAAGTCTTACAGGTAATAAGTAGGAAGTCTTACTGTATTTTAAAAAGTAATTCTTGCAGAAAGCCCCACCTAAATTTTCATAATTCTTTTATGAATATATTATAATGTACATTTGTTTTCCTAATTTAAGTAGGATAAAATATTATTTTATATTAATATGTTATAACAAAAGCATAGCAAAGTGGACCAGGTCATTATTATAGGAATTAAACGCATTAATGAATACGAATATGAGTAGCAGTTTGAATGACTGGGAAGCAACGGAACACACACGTGCAGAGTCTCAGAACAAAAGATTTTGGGAACCACCGCTTAGGAGTCACGGTCGTTCACTCCACTGACCAATGTATTCTGTTGCTTCTACTCACTTATCTCTTTGTCTGTTCAGATAACTCTTCCTAGGTTTCTCTGAAATGTGCCTTTTACCATTTTGCAAAGTTCAGCAATCTATTATATTCTTAGAGCATTTATTCAGTCATTTCCTGATAGATGGGAATCATCTTTGTTTCCAGTTCTTTGCAACAAGAAAAAAATAGCAGCTGTAAGTTTGTTTTATGTGTGTGAGTCTTTTCCCTCTCTCTCTCTCTGTCATTTTTTTTTTTAGGTAATTGAGGTTAAGTGACTTGTCCAGGGTCACATAGCTATTAAGTGTCATGTATTTGGTCTGAGGCCAGATTTGAACTCAGGTCCTCCTGACTTCAGGGCTGGTGCTCTATCCACTGCGCCACCTAGCTGCCCCTCCCTCTTTCTTTAATCCCTTTAGTTGATAGATCTACTAGTGGCTATCACTGGGTCAAAGGACATCCAGGTTTGTGAAACTGGGGGCAGAGTTCCAAACTCCATTGCAGAATGACATCCTTTTATTTTAATGCCGTGTGAATCTTTGTCACACACAAGAAGTCATCTGGTTTAGCTTCCTAATGCATTCTCTTAACTCCCTCCATTATTATTTAGTTATGCCAATTAATTATGTTTTCTCTATCATATCCGCTTCTCCTCTTTTCCCCTGCCTCATTCTGAAGAAACAAACAAACAAACAGAAATAGACAGGTAACGGGACCGTGATCCACACCAGTCACCTACAACTGCAAGGTCACGATCTCTACTCCTCACCACGCTCATCGATCCACTGCAGTCCTAGCTGACTGGTCTGTGTTTTATCCTCCCATCTTTTTCATCTCGCCTAATTAAAGCGCCCTCTGAGATGGAAACACTGAGCAGCAGGTAGAACGCTGGGTCTGGAGTCAGGAGGACGTGAGCTCCAATACCGACTCAGACACGGAAGCGCGTGACCCCGGGCAGGTCACAGGCCCTGTTTGCCTCAGTTTCTTCAGGAATAAAGTGAGGATGATAATGGCACCTCTCTCCCAGGGTTGTTTTAAGGCTCAAGTGAAATAGTTCTGGTAAGTCACTCAGCAGGTGGTGGATGCTACATAGATGTTACCTTTTAGAATCACTATTTTGATTATTTTCCTCACCAATTCTGCTATCCTTATTTTCCGTTCACCATCTACACACTTATTTCCCTGTTCAACTTAATGTACTTCCACAGCAAAGCACCCTCCTTTGCTGAGATCACTAAGAGTGAGGTTCGTGGTCTGCTGCTTCTTCTCAAACCACCTCTACCCTTGTATACTAGACTGTGAGCTCCTTGCCAACAGGGACTATCTTTGCCTTTCCTCGTATCCCCAGAGCTTAGGACCAGGCCCAACATGGAGTAGGAGCTTACTCAAGATTTCCTGACTTACCAGGTGCAGAGCTGGCACCAGAACCCAGCCTCTCCCTCATTCCCTGGACTCTGGCCTCTTGCTTAGTCCTCAGATGCAGGCCCCGGCCGCAGCCCTATTTCTGTTCCTCACACCTCGTCACCTACCAGGAGTTACCTTTGTCTAATTCAAGCCCAGACGGCACC